GATCCGAACTGGGGCCCTCTGGCGTCCCAAGCCAGTTCTTAACCATCGCGGGCATTCTTGGCCTTTTATACTTTTATTCAATGCTCTTTAATAAATGTGCAGTTGAACCCAGTCTCCCTTGAGTACCTTATAATTTCATCTTTAAGATGACTTGCCTTTATTCCATGAATTCTTTCCTGAATTCATTTAATTCTAGTTTTCTACCTTCCTATGTTGTTTTTGGTCTGTTTCTGTTCTGAGTTTTGTAATTTCTCATTTGAGGTGTTTTTTCCTATCATGCCTGGAAGTTTTGTTGAAAGGTATATGTTCCTTTTGCAATGTGTTACAGTTTGCTTCTGTTTAATGTTTCATTTATTGGGGGATAATTTTTATTAGCTGAAATATTTTCTCATTTTAATTTTATAGCTTTGTATGAATGCCATTTGCTGTTTTCTGTTCACTTTGTGCTTTTGAAATAATTTCAAACTTATAAAAAGGTTTTCAGTCTTTCCATTCCTTCTATAAGCTTCATAATTTCTTTAAAGAATACCGACTAGTTATTTTGTAGAATGTTTCTCAATTTAAGTGTGCCTGATGCTTCTTCGTAATTAGATTCAGGTTGTAGTTTTTTGTTTTTTTCTGCAAAAATACCACAAAAGTGATATTGTGTTCTTAGATCATATCAGAAGGCACATGGTATTGATATGTCTCATTACTAGTGCTATTAACTGTGCTTGGATAATTAACCTGGTGATATCTACCAGGTTCTCTTCACTGTGAAGTTATTATATTCCCCTTTGTAACTAATAAGTACTTTATGAAAAAATACTTTGAGACTATGTCCTTTTTCTCAGAAACATCCTCCAGCTAGTTTTAACATCCACTTGTGGTGACTGCCTAGATCAATTATGATGATTGCCAAATAGTGACTTTCTAATTTCATCATTCTTTCTACGTTTCATTGTTGGCAATCTACTCTAAGGAGGATGTTTCCCTCTTCTCTCACTGATATATCCATATCAATGCATACTGAGTAAGTATTATGTATAATACATACTCCTAACTCTTGGGAGATACATGTGAAGTACTTAGGTAGAAAGGTCATGATGTCTGCAGCTTATCTTCAAATGTTTCAACAAAACAATACACATACTCACATACACAAGAGCATTAAAACAAAGGTGAAAAAATGTTAATTATTCAATCTCGGTGAACTGTATATGGGAAATCATTGTACTATTTTGCAACCTTTTTGTGGATCTGAATTTTTTCAAAATGTAAGATATATATATATATATATATATATTAATTGTAACCTTCGCAAACATTAAAAAAAAATTAAAGTCAGCCTACAGATTTAATTTACCATCATTTGAATATATTCAAAATTTATTACCATTGTCTAGAAATTTAACACTAGCATCTGTGCAACAGTCTTCTGTGGCAGATGGAGAACACCACACACAAATTTCACACACTAAAATAACAGTTCCACATTCGACAAGACTATTTCTTGATTCAGTAGACCAAGCTTGACAAAGCAGCCAACTAAAGATGAATGATTCCAGTTTTAGGACATATGACTCGTAAGTGAGCTTATCACTTCGGGAACATTATAAATAATATTAAAATGTTACATAGACTTACAAAAGTTCCGTTTTTCCTGAAGCCTATATATAGACAGGTTCACAAAATAGAAACCTGTGCATTACAGCACTCTGAGGTTTTAGCAAAGCATACATTATAGACACGTTTGTCGTACAGTGCAATTTTATTATGTAAGACATGAATAATAGTGCACTTAATTCCAAGAGTCACATTCAAATATATCAAGAGTACAATTCAAATACCCGCTATTGAAGAAATACATATTCTTTTTTTAATCACTAAGTTGTGCAAGTACAACATTTTTAGTGTAGATGGTAATAGCGCTATAAGGATTCTAAACAACAGAACGCAGGGTGTATTCGCGTAGAATAATCCACCGCTCCAAAGATGTGCATTTTAAAAGTGCAACAAATGTCGTGGGCAGACAGACACAGGCAGTGTTGCATAACTTGTTTTTATTACAAATCACAAGTACAGTTACTGTGTATACTCACAGGTCGTTTAACAGAATGGCTCTAAAAGTCAGTAAGCTCTCATCAGGAATTCTTTTCAGGGCAAAGTAGTGTCTATCGTGAGCCCTACTATCTTTCGTTAACTTAAGCACAAACTACAGTCCCACAGTGTAGTTCAAAAATAGGACATTGGGTTTTTCTTGGAAGACATTTAGATAACAAGTTCAGTTTCAGAGAGTCTCTTCTGGGCTATTGGTGTAAAGGAAGAAGATGCTGTGGACAATAGATTATAAAGACTGAGTGAAGGTAAAAGTACTTTTGTTCAATAAAACAAAAGTTAGAAAACTGATATTATAAGAAAAGTACCCTTTTATATTGTCTGAGAATAGAAAATAATGGAGAAGTCAGTCTTTTAATGTTTTTTTTGTTGTTAAGATGGTGAATTACACAAAAATACTATCTGGTAATAACTTAGGCTATCAGCTCTGGAGGGGGAAAAAGATCTGACTCATGTTAAATAAGAAATAACTTATCTATGTTGTCTTGAGGTATAGCATAAACCTGTATTAGATGTACCGAATGACTTCATTCCCTGGTAAATTTCAAAGCTGCAAGGACAAAGGATCAACTATTCTAAAAACTGCCCGTTTTCTTTGTCCAGGAAATAATTTTCTGATAAAGAGTCCTCATTATACTGTTTTCATTCACTAAATCTGGATATGAGTAAATCCCAAAACGTTTGCCTGAGGCTAAAGCCTGATAATAAGTGAACCTGATATCCTCCTCAAGACTTAAAATTAAAATAGCTAATCTGAAACCAGATTAACTACAGGAGTTATATCTTTAAGCAGATTTTTAAAAAATGCAGCAAAACATTCCTATTTTTCAAGCAAGAGACAACTACTGGCCAAATCTTTTCCATGATACTGATTTTTTAGTTAACATAAATACTAACTGAATCAAAGACTAACATCTCACTAAATTTCATTCTTTAAAATGAAAAGCAATGACATATCACCTCTGTAAATGAGGTTTCAGAGTTCAAAGAAAAGTTTTTAAATTCCCCACAAAGGATCTGAAATAACTATCTATTGTCTTCCAAAGTTTTGCTCAAAATCACTTAAAAATCTTGCTTCAATGGCCTCAGTTTTCTTAGAAATAAAACACATTTATATTGTTTTACTCCTATAAGATTTTACAATTTCTGCTTGCTTTATTCCCATTAATTCTGCCACCACTCTCTGCACTCAATTTTTTAAAGCCACATTTATCAAAGACAATTCTCCAAACTTAATGTTTCAAAAGTATCTTCTCATGAGTATATCCATTGCAGTTATTTTTCTCATCCAAGGAATGGGTAACTCAATAGTATTACTAAAAACCCTCAAGTTATATTGATAATACACTTGTTTTTGACAGATTGCTTGAGTTTGGGAAAACTTTAATATTTGCATTATTAGATGACCCCTTTAAAAGTGCACTGATACCAAAGTTTGTTTTTACAACCTATCATCAGAACTGAAGTTTGGATAATCCCTAATTATAAATTAATACTAAAATGCAAACTTGTCTAAAACAGCTTAAGATTGTTGTCTCAATAAGAGAAATAAAAAGAAATTGAAACACTTTGCTATTGTACCCTGGCTCACACATAAAATGCTCTTCAGGAAGACAGGTGTAAATGATAGCGTACAATTTCTCCATGTCCAAACCTAATAAAAAAAAACTCTCTCTGAAGTTTTCACCCATGGAAGCCCTATGGCTAATCAATATTACCAGTGGGAATCACTTTTAAAGAAAGTGATATATATTTTAAAGATATATATGTATGTATGCATATATATATATATATGTATATATATACATATATATATACATATATGTATATATATGTATATATATATATATATATACACACACACACACACAAACACACATACACATATATATCTAAATGCCTTTCCTCATGGGTCCGTTAACTGAGAAGAACAAGGCTCCTTCTTCATATCTAGTCTGGAGACAAAATTAGGGGGAAAAAAAATGTCAGCTGTGTGAAAAAATGCAATAGGCAATTCTGAGGGGCCATAAAAAAGCTAGGGTGTTTCCTCCTTAGAAGGTATACAGACATTTCACCCAACACAGAGGTATCTATTGCAAGACAGTTCATCTCCGTAGTTCCTTTGCCTCAGCCTTTTGGTGAGGGCTTCTATGCCCTGTGATTCATAACTATAGCCAAGAAAAGAAGTCAAGAATAAAACTGAGTTTAGAGGAGAAGGCAGGCAAATTTACCAAAAGAGAGTTCTGACTATGAATTGTGTTCATCCTTTTGCAACAAGTCTGAGGAAACAGAAAAAAAAAATGAAGCTTGGGAAACTGGAGATAGAAAGAATTTGCTATTTTCTAAGGCTTCTGAATATGGCCATAGATTTTGACAGAGTCAATTTTTTTAAATTACATTTTTAGCTCAATACATATCTCTAAAGCAGGGTTCAGTTTTGGTTTGCTTTACACTGAAATGGTTATATACAGATGGAGTGGAAACAGTATTCATGGTTACTCTTCTTCAACTATCCATTTAAAGGATAACTAGAATTGATAGTATTTGTTTAAATGAGCAGTGCCACAAACCAGAAATGTACATGGAAAGCATTGAACCGCTAACTTTTAGAGTTGCAGGCATAAACTAGCATAGCATTAATATAGTCATCACCGTTTCTGTAACATTGAAACATTTCAAATCTGTTTCTGAAGTTTAAAACATAGCTGCATCATGGTCATAAACTCTCACCTCCACTTAAAATATATTTGATAACATATAATGGACAAGTCAGCAGAGTCAAGATCAATTTTCAAAAGGCTGAAGCCAACATAAAAGATGTAATTTTAGTATTAAACTCTTAGAATACTTAAAAATAAAACAAAACAATAAAACATACACATACATACATAAACCAGTGCAATACGAACTTCGGACAAGGGCAGTGCATCTCTGGTTTAAGAAAACCATATTTGTAGCTTAATTATAGCAAATTAACATCTATTATAAATGATGGTTTAATGTTACATCCGGCATTTGATATACATTTAATATGTATGGTCAAAACCTGAAAAACCAATTCAATAGTAACAATACCATATCAGTAACAAATTCCTACTTTATTTCTATATTGCACATACTTTTAGTGTCTACTGTTAAATTTACTTCTTAATGTAAATATCAGACGACTATACCTCTTGCCCTTGTAAAATGATTTACCTTTAATAAATATTCAGAATTTCCTTTCTTGACAAACGAGGATGAGAATGAATTCAGCTTTGTTAGTCCAAAACTATTTGAAAGAGAATGGCAAATGTATCGGAAATGGCACGTTAAACATAAAATTCTTGGTTTCTCCACCATTTCAGTTTTGAAAAATGTTTCTATATTCCAAGTGTTTAAACGTCTGATCCTTTTTGAAACTGACAAATATTTCCTAAAGAGATTAATCATATCTTTGACTGGTCTGGAGCACTGTCTGGAAAGTAGACACAGAGGAAAGCTTATGATAAAACGGTGTATAACACAAAATGGCATGACATGGGTCACCTGATTCACACAAAATAAAATGACTAGCACCTCCTTCCTGTTCCCAAAGTGAGGAGGCCCAATAGGCCACATGAAACATTGAGTAATGATGGTAAGTTTCGTTCATAAATTATTGAGAAATCCATTACATTGGAGGGTTCTCACATCTAAAGCCTTAAGTTCAAGGCTATTAAGTAAAAGTGAGCTGAAGGGCAAAAGGAGAGAGAAGTGGGCTACGGGTGCGTATGGAGGGAGTGAGGACATCTTTCAGGGACTCTCCTGTATCCCATCCTCAGTTTCCAGTTCTGCCAACTGCCTCCTAAGGATATTTACTTTTGCTTGTAATTCCTTATTATAGTCAATGATGTTAACCATTTCTTCATACGCTTCATCCAAATACTTGGAGGATCTGTTCCAGCGTAGGAAAATACCTATTGAATCCAGGAAAGGAAAACAGAAGGGAGAAAGATACATACAATGGATTAACATTAAAATTGTGGGTAATATATAATACCATGTATTAATTTTTTCTTTTTTTCCACAATTCACATCTGTTTTATCATACTCTAAAAATACAGGAATCTTGATGTACTGAAAGAGTATAATTAAATATAATATTCAAGAAATCACTATTTCTATGTACATGCTTATTAATTCTTCAAAACCCCCATAAATAATGAAATACATCAAAATATTGTTCTCTGATATATTCAGGAAAACAAGCTGATAATTTATAATGCCATAAACTTTCCAGTTTAATAATAGAAATCTTTTTTTTTTTTTCAAAATTATAGAACTTCACTCAGACCTCTAAGAGCTCCTACATGTGTGAAATCACTTTCACTGAAAAAATGAGTTTTACAATAAAAGCAGAACTACACAAATCTTTATTTAAAAGCCTAAACTTCAGCGCTCTCTCTCCCTCTCTCTTGTTATTTAAGAGGCAGTGTTCCAATTATTCAGGCCATAATTGGATAATTATGCATCTTTCCCCACATAATAATCATCATTTTATTATGGACTAAAAGAAGACATTTTTTCCTCTACACAGACCCTGTGTTAAGTATATCATCCCCAAATAATGGCTGAAAGATATTCAAGTAAGGAGGTACAAAAACTTTCCAGGTTGCAACATGTCAGTAGCTGACAAGTTCACAAAGGTTTTATGATTCATTAAAACATGTTCCATAAACCAAACTTCCATGGGCCCTAAAGAGTCTTTCTATATATGTCCAAATGCTACTCTCCATTAGAAAGTTAAAATAGAAACATAGCTTAAAGATGGACTGACCTGTGTTGATTTTTCTACAAGAAAAATATAAGAGCCTATTTTAAAAACCCTGTTCTTCAGTACAGGAATTACTTAATATTGATGGTTAACTATGATATAAATATAAACAGCAGAGAGACATTTAAGGCTAAAGAGTAGTCTCATTTATACATCCCATATACCTACCCCGAGAAGATTTCACTTAACATACAATTTCTTCCAGTTCTAAGTTGAGGAGGCACTAAACACATATGGAAACTCCGTTCTTAATAGAGTAGTAGGAATTCATTCATATAACAGAGGTTTCCTTCTATCATGTAATCCCTAAACTCTCAATAAGATTTGGTTAAAAACTAGTTAAATCATCCTGCAGGCCACTCAACTCCCAAATCTGGCTTTTCTTCCAAGTAGCTAGTCTCTCATTTCAGTTATTAAGCATGACAGTGGTCAATTTTAGGTCAATTGTCCCAGAAGTCTTAAACAAGAATATAGCTGTAATCTCTTATTTAAGAGATCACTTATCCTGCACCTGTGATAGTCTACAACAATCAAAGTAAAGAGAAGTTCTGAGCAGCCCCAAATCCCCAAAGAACTAATATTCAGACTCAGAGAAACTTAAGACTATCTGAGGCCATTTCCCCACAAATCTGACTAGAGGACACCTCGACAGATAAGATTAAAAGCATAAACTGAGGGGGAAGGAAGCAGCTAATGACAGACATGCCAAGAGGAAAAAAATGTGAGATGACATCCAGAGAAGAGACAGAAACAGACTTAATCTCAAGCCAAGAAAGCAGAGCAATCTGAGGTCCTTTTACACACAAAGGGGTTTTCCACACATGAATTGTCCTTGAGGGCGTGACGTATCAGAACGTGGTATAATAACTGACATTCATGGTAATGCAGTTCAATTTACCAAACAGCTATCACTCCTGTGTGTATGCTGTACGCTGTTTAATACAAAGATGACTAAAGATGTATTTACTACCTTCAATTTAAAAAGAATTTAAATAGTATTTTATAGTCTTTCTTTAATGAATGCCTAATATATTTTATATAGATTTTGGCAATTAAAAAAAAACCCTTTGGTATTTAAGAAGATAAGCTTCAGGAGTCTGAAAAAATTAATGTAGGTAAAACACCTTCTTTAGAATAGATTTGAAAATTAAGTATGGATTACTGTTCCACTCAAACAATAGGATGCTTGCATTACTGCACTGACGGGTGGCATCTGTGTCCATTTAGAGACCCTAGCTAGAATGATGAGCCCTTTAGTAGCATTTAACAGAAGAACCTATCCTAATGACTGCTTGGTAAAGGAAACAGAAGCCATCTCCTTGGAGCTTACAATTGATTCCTGTCCCAACTACCTACCAACTTTCTTACACAAAAAGTAATGTACTTTCCCTCACACCCATTAGGATGGGGGGGAAAAACCCAACCAGAAAATAACAAGTGTTGGCTAGGGTGTGAAGAAGTGGGAACCCTTGTGCACTATTGTTGGGATTATAAAAAGGTGCAATGTTATGGAATATAGATGAAAGTTCCTCAAAAAATTAAACAGAGAATTATCATATGATCCAGCAATTCCACTTCTGGGTACATACCCAAAGGAATCAAAAGCAGGGTCTTGAAGAGATTATTTTGCACCCCTATGTGCCAAAAGGTGGAAGCAATCCAGGTGCCCACTGACCAATGCATGGATAAGCAAAATATGGTACATACATTTAACAGAATATGATTCAACCTTAAAAAGGAAGGAAATCCTGTCATATGCTACGACATGGATGAACCTTGAGTACATTATGTTAGTGAAAGAAACCAGTCACCAAAAGTCAAACACTATGTGAGGTTCCTAGAACAGTCAAACTCATAGGGACAGAAAGTAGAATGGTAGTTGCCATGGGCTGGAGAGAGGGACAATGGGAAGTTGTTGCTTAATAAGTATAGAGGTTGAGATTTACAAGTTCTGGAGACCTGCTCACAACAATGTGAATATACTTAGCACTACTGAACTATACACTTAAAAATGGTTAACTTGGTAAATTTTGTTTTTTAATGTACCAACTTATCTAGGGAAACTATAAGTAGCTGTATCCATTAAATCATTTTTTTAATAGGCTGCTGGTTATTTATTTCATAATTTTAAAAGTGGTATTCCATTGTCTTCTATAGTTCTAGTTGGGAAATCACCTGTCTTATTTTACTCTTTTAAGATAATGTGTCTTTCATGCCTGAGCTTTAACATGCTCTACTGTCTCTGGTTTTCAGCAGATTTACAGTCGCGTGCCTTTGTGGGGTTGATATTGCATTGACCCTCCCTGGGTCGGGTAGTACTTCTGGAACCTCAGGCTTGATGTCTTTTGTCAATTTTGAGAAATTCTTGGCCATTAATGCTTTGGATATTGCTTCTGCTTTATTCTCTCTCTTATTCCCTGATCGGACTAATCACACATGTAGATGGGCATTTTGATTATTGTTCCAAGTGTGTCTTCTGCTATTTTCCTGCATTTTGAATCCTCTTCTTCTCCATGCTCCAGTCTGAACATTGTCTGGATCAGCTGTGGATCCTCTCTTCAGCTGTGTTTAATCTGCCATGCAATCTGTTAAAGCTCCTGTAATCGGGCAGTTCTGCCTTTCCTTCAGGCTTGAAAAGTTTCGGGTATGAAGCCTCTAAAAGCTGGGGATCACTGCTGACGGCCTGTTCCCAGGGTGATTGATGGTACTTAGGGACAGCTGTAGTGTTGAATCTTTCAGGAGGAAGTTCCTGCAGTGGCCCAGAATATCCTGGTGCAATGATTTCTGGATTTGGGGGACTTCGTGGATCTGGGGTGTTGGGAGGAGTAAATGGGGCTTGCTGCGAACCACCTTCCAAGTGGCTTCCGTTCAGTTTCCCATTCTGTATGGCAAGATTGTGGTTTATTTGTGATCTCGATTCATGTGGAAATATTCAAATGTATATCTGTCCGATCTCCTCTGTCGCCTCTTCAATAGTCGGGCACCACAGTTACTGAGGTGCGATAGTTCTTCCCACATGCTGTCTCTGGGGATGCTGATCTTTTTGCCCAGATCCATGCCAGCTACATAATTCTGGAGTCAAGAAGTCTGAGATCCGGGTGCCAGCATGGCTGGGTTCTGGTGAAAGCCCTCATCCAGGTTGCAGACTGCTGACTTCTCATTGCGTTTTCACATGGGGAAGGGTAAATAATCACTGTTAATTTCTCAAATGGGTACTGAAAACAAGGTGTGACTAGATAACTGATATGAAAAAAATAATTTTGCACAAGTCTGAGGGTCAGATCCACCTTGCCATCTTCAAATAACAACACACACTCACAGGCAGTTGAAAGAGCATCCTTGACTAAGGATAAAAAGATTGCAAAGGATGTAAGGCTTACCTTCCCAGAGCTGAAGACTCTGTGGAGCAACTGAAGGCCAGATGACAAGATTGTTGGCTTCAAAGAGAGGATTGGTGAATTTACTCAGTTCACTGGGCCTATTAACCCAAGACCACAGAGACATAGTTTTCTGCTGCAGCTTCAACTTACATCTGATCAAGAAAGAAAATTGCCATTAGAGCAGTTAATTGATAACAACTATTATTAAATGCTCCTCCTAATGGGACAATTTTTTTACTCTGTATAAGGCCGAACACAAGATTTTTAGTAGAGGAATAAAATGTTGTAAAATAAACATACCTGTCAGAATATTCAATTAGCATTACAACTCTCACCAACAACTAAACAAAGTCTGTTTTACAGGCATCCAAAAACAGCAAGAAGGAAAAAACCAGAATCTAGTCATGTCAGGTTCAGTGTTAAACATTAACCCAGGGAACGTTACTATATGCACAGTCCTTTATTATGTCTGGGATTGTATTTTAATTTAAAATAGCTAAACAGATTAAAAAGAAATATGTATCTTGATGTAAATACAGATTTAACCCTCCGTTGGGCACAACTGATCTCACAGATTCATTGCACACACATTTTCAAATATCTAATAGTTAAGTATCATGACTCATCGCTTCCGTATCTCCCCCCTCTACCATAACCTATCACCAGTCATCTTTGTGACTTCGTACAGTAAAGACGTATTTCATAGCGGCATCTTTGTGTGCAATGAATCTGTGAGATCAGTTGCGCCCAACGGGGTGTGTGTGTGTGTGTGTGTGTGTGTGTGTGTGTGTGTGTGTGTGTGTGTGTGTGTGTGTTAATCTACATTCATATACAATCAATGGTCTTCATAATAATCCTGAAATTCTGTAATAGTCTTTATCGTGGAATAAATATTCAGGATGAAAACTGAACAGGCACATTTTAGAAAAAATAAATTTTAATGAGGAAAGATAATTTGTGGTAAACCTTACATTAACCCAAAAGATAATACATTCAATTGTCACAGAATTCTGTTTAAGTTGAAATTTTACTATAAAATTAGTTTTGTCTCTGAAACCTACTTGATTACTTATAAGCTTCATGCAAGTTAATTATGTGCATATAATTATGCTAGCAATAAAAAGAATCCACATACTCACAGAACCCATGTAGTACTAGAATTTAATTGCTAGGATAGAAGTCCCATACTCTGTCCCCAGGAATCAGGCATGGTGAGGATAGGAAACCATTGCACGCACTGCCCCCCCACTCCCTACCCCCAAGCCCATGGCTAGCCAATCAGTGAACTTATTCTGGCCAAGCCCGCCCTATACAGCTTCAGAACCCTTGTCAATTAGCACTACTGGTAGGCTCTCAAATGGGAATCAGAATGTGAGATAAAATTTATTTGTGATCCTTTTATTTAATGTAGTTCAGAAGAATATTAATAGGTGTAACACCAAAAAGAAGTCCATAGCCAAACATATTATTTAAATGCTGAATTAAAGTTATATACTTTGCTTCAACAGAGAAAGGTTAGAGCAGGAGTAAGAAGACCTGTATTACAGCCCTACTTTTGGTGACTAGCTGGCTGTGTGTCCCTGGATAAGTCATTTTACTTATCTGGATATTACCTTCCTAATCTATAAAATTGGATGGTGAGTGAAGTTGGAATATATATTAAGGCTTGTTCCAGATTAAGATACCATAATCCTATATAAGAAAATTAACATTTAAAATGGTTGTCCAGTTTACTCAAAACTTTTTAATCAGTACATGGACTAATTTTAATCTATTAGAACAAGGTCTTAGGATATGCTCACCTAGCATGTGATAGGTTCATAATAAGAATACACCTCGTGTAATTTATACTAACTATAATGTCTATCATCTTATAAATAACATTAATATAGAACCAAATCCTGGTCTCTTTTAGGAAGTGACCAAAACAACTTGAAATGGCCCCCATGTAAGCAGTATGCCCACCTTTCACTTTCATTGTTGCCCAGAAATGTTCCAAATTGTGAGGCATAGGAGTGCTCAAAGAGCATGATGAGGAAATTCTCATTAAATTCAAAAGAACAAGGGAACTGTCGAAGAATCTGCCACACACAGTCCAAGAAGAGAAGAAATACAGGTGACTCCCACTTCTGCTTACTATTACAATAGGCTGACTGTGCACAGCGCTGTTGGAACGGGTGACCAGCCTAGAGAAAAGATGGAAATGTGATAGTCATACCTTAGTAAGATCACATTGTAGCACATTCTATTAACAGTATTCCACATGAGTGCAATGAAACTCTTATTAAAAGGAACATATATTGGTTGTTGGAAAAGTCATGATGTATTTTTTCTGTTTTTCGTTGCGAAAATGCGTCATGACTTTTCCAACAACCCAATAATTTGGGTGGCTACTATTTAGATGAATAATTTCTTGGTTTAAAACAATTCCCAAATACTTAACGAGGTTGTGCAGTTAAGACATCACCGTAAGAACTGAAACTGTCCTTAGAATATCAAATGGAATAATATTGAGCTTCAGTAATGATAAACTTATAAAAGAAATCTTTCTAGGCCTGTTTAATTTGGAGCCAAGTCAAAGAATAAGCTCAAAACGAAGGACAGCTATCACCTTCTATCTCCCCAAAGCATTGCAGGCTGTTGTAAGCTACATAAGCCTCACTCCTAAATGAAGATAAATATGGGGCTCTCATAGACAAACTTTATAAGGTCACTCCTGATATTAAATGTTTAAATGACATTATGGAAAAAAGTTACTGTCATGAAGAGATCTTTATGAATACTATTACATTACAGAGAAAGCTGTCCTTAGTTTCCCTCTTCTCCCAAAAAGAACTGGAAGAGTCTACTGATGAAATGAAATTTAAGAATCATTTGGCTCTCTGGCCCACCCAGAACCTGTGCACCAACCTTATCCCAAATCACACCCTCCTAGGGATTTCACAGACCTGCTTTATCTTTGAGTCCTTATACCACTTTATGTGACAAAGATAATGCCATAACCGTTTTCCAGTGCTTAATGGGATTTTGATCCCCATTAAAATGGTAATATATAAGTATATCATAGTCATTTGTTTGTTTGCTATGTGTCATGAGGAATGTAGCTGAATAGATTTTCACTAAATATTTAGGATGGTCTGCCTTAAACTGAGATAAAGGTCAGATGTCAGGCAGGGTGGACACGGCACACATAACATCATTAACACATTATAAATCGGAACTGTAACCAGAAGGGCCAGACATGATTTTTCTCCAGAGATACTTCCACTTTCAAGATTTATCTAATCATTTGTTTTCAACCCCAATTGATTACTAAGTTACGCAGTGTATACACATTCATAAATTGATCTCTGACTTGGAGGATTTCAATCTTCTGAGACCTTTATTTTAGTTGTCATTCAGCGTTATGTGACAGCACTGTGTTGTGTCCTAGGGATAAACAGATGACGTAGGCAAGGTTCCCTGACCTCAAATAAGTCATTTGATTTGGATCTAGTTCAGGAAACAAGGCATAGAGAAAAAGGGCCAGTTTTATCTGTGAAGGAGGTTAAGGTCCCAAAGATTTCATGAAAGCAGGGACGTTTGGCTGGATCTTCAGGAACAAGAAAGATTTCACCCGGCTGGGGAAGAGGACAGGATGGAGCCAGACTAGAGCAAAAAGGCAGGAAGTCCTGAGAAGCACACGCCTTAATTAACAAGTCCCTATTCCCCCATTCCCTTTGATTATGCAGTTCATCTCCAATAAGACTAAGCTCTGCAAGACAAGACTATGTTTTACATTCTTTGTATTCCCCTGGAGGTAACATAAGTACAGCTAACAAGAGTTTGCTGAGGCAAGGAAGTGCCAAACGAGCAATACAAGCAAAGCGAGATATAGAAATTAAGAGGCAGTAAAGATTACAAACATTTATTGAGAGGAAGAGAAATTCTTTGTCCCCCAGAAAATTAAACGTACAATTTATAAACATTTTAATCAATCAAAATTTTATATATTATATCCACTCCCACAAACCAGGGTCCCAACATCAATTATTAGCTGTTCCTCTACACACAAAATAGCTTTTCTCACCTGTAGCCACTCTCTTTCTATCAGAGCCTCAAAACCACGGATGGTCCTGCTTCTTGGTTCCAAGATGATCTGGGCCAGGGAGGTGACCTGAAGTGTGGAATCAGTTCCTTCTGTGCCATGAATCAATATGGACGCTCCTTCCCTGATCGGAAAATTCACAGAACAAATGGGATACTCCTGACAGTCAGTCAACTCCGTTAATAATAAACATTTACGGAGTACAATATTTCAGTTTTATGTATTCTGCTTTGTCCAGTTGGGTTTAGTCTAAATTAGTCTCTAAATGAAGAGAGCTTCCCTTGGGAAAAAAATAAAACTATAGTGAGTTCCAAATTTCACAAGGCGAGAACCCCTTTAAGTTATAACAAATTTCACAGAACCTTTTAGCTAAAAAATTCTCTCTTTACAAAACTGAAAAGCAGTCTTATTACACACAGTAGGCACTGACCTTTCCTGCTTTAATGGTTGATTAAAGCCTTTTCTCATCAAACCTAGAAACATACACTTAAAATTATTTTTCTGTATCTCTCTGACCTTGATTCTACCTTTCTACCATTAGCTGACTATAAAAGATGCCTTCATAAACTGTAATGGATCCGGGAAACAAGTCCTGAACCACACTTGGAGAAACATAAAAACAGGAAGAAACAAAGGAAAACAAAACAAAACAAAACAGCATAAAATCATCAATCTAGAAAGTCAGTGTCAATGATGCCATGATACTTAGGAGGTGTCTGGGAACCCATTATACTAAAGAGATTGGGAGGAAACACCAAAAACTAAATTAACTACATCTCCCCTCCCCTTCTTCTACCTCTTATATGGAAATGATAATGCGGAAAATTTTGGAAAAAAGAAAAATAAGCTCAATTTTCTCATAAGTTTCATGTTCAGTTACTACTGTTAATTCTTTCCCCATGTACATATATATTTTACATCGCTATAACATAGGGTAATTTCTTATTTTTCCAGTTTTATTATAAACACTTTCCAATGTTTCTATGTCATCTTTAGATGTATTGTATTACTGGTTATATAATTTCCTATTAAGTAATCAACTACAATTTACTTAATCCTATAGCTGGACAGTTAGGTTATTGCCAATTTTTGTTACACTATAAATGATGTACTTAGTTTTTTGTCTTTTGCTGAATTATTTGAGAATTCTTAATTTGAAAATAAGACTCCCTGATGTTCCCTTATGATGGTTAGGCTAAAAACCTAGTATGAAATCTAATGACTAGCCCAAAGGGTATGAGCAAATATTTTTAGGCTCCTAATATACAGAGGGTGCCAAAAAAAATGTATATACATTTTAAGAAAGGAAAAAATCTATACTAAAGTTACACTGATGGTAACCACTTTGAGCACCTCTTGTAATTGCAGAAGTGAAACATGACTTGTATTCATCTTTTGTTATCAGTATATATTGAGTATAACAACTTTAATACATTTTTTTCCTTTCTTAAAATATGTATATATTTTTTTGGCACCCTCTGTATATTGAGAATATATATCTTAGATATCTGTGGTATATTCTGAATTTAATTCAATTAATTTAAGGTCGATTTTTACATTCTGAGTAATTAATTATACGGGCAGAGTTTTATGGTGGTATTAATTTGCTAATATATATCAGAAAAGGGAAACCAAACATGGCAAAATAAACCAAAACCTTAAGCTCTCCTATGAGTATGGAAGTCCCTGTTTGCTTAAGTGGCCAGTGCAAACGAAACAAAGGTAGAAATACCAAACACTGTTCTGCACTTAGAGTTGCCTTGACCTTCATCATCTCGTTATTAGGCTGAAAACTTAGACAACATGATGATAAGTGTCTATTACAATTCATGTTTCCTAAGAAAACAGAAGCCTCTGTACTTACCATGTAAGGGGAAATCTTTTAAACTTAGGTTAAAAAGAAACAAACCCTTTACTATTAGAATATCATCATTCTGTATTATCGATTTCTCTGCCACAGAGCCTTGGTCTTTAACTCCCATACTTTATTAGATAAATGAGCTTTGCCTAAAATAAAGAACAGTGACAGCCTGGGAATGCTGACACCAAGAATCTCCGCTCATTCTTGGTTCTGTCACTAACTTACCATATAACCTTAAGCAACCTATTCTATTATCGGTTTCTCACTAACCATAAAAAGTTACATATATATTTCCTTAATTTGAGAGCATCAATAAAACAAATTAAATTCTCAAAGAAAAGTGCCACACAACTATATGGTGGCAATACTTATACGTACCTATTGTTTCTGTGGGACTCCCCTTCATAAGAAGGGCACGCTAAGCTTCTGCAACCTTTTATACCAGTCCTTCTGCCTCTGTGCAAGACTTCTGCTTCAAGGCTCAAGGATTAGCAAACTTCAACTGAGTGAATAAACTAAAATCACTTCATATACTTCATATTACTGTCATCAGGTTTTCTCAACTTGAGATCCTGATATAACTACACATATCAAGAATTTGTAATAAGATATCTGAGAGATTAGAAAGGATCGTTTTATTGTGTAACAAAATTACATGGTTCCCTTCATTGATATTTCAAAAGAAAGAAGGAAAATTTGGCCCTCTGAGAAGAAATAAGAAAACTTCTTTTCTTTTTCACAGTTTAAGAAAAGGAAAATTGGCAGATTAATAATTTAAGGATTTTATAGAACAAAATGGTCTTTTAGTATTTAAAAAACTTGTGTCATGAAAGACGTGTATCTGTGCATGGTTCACAATTCATTCAACATTATCAATTAAATGAGAGACTGCACACACTTTATCAATAACTGAATGGCACTATCTTATGTAATAATTTATAAATGATCTTAACAGAGGATATAGAATCAGCACAAACTTTAACATACAGGCATACCTTGTTTTATTGTGTTTCACATTATTGCACTTTGCAGATACTTAATTTTTTATAAATTGAAGGGAAGACCCAACAGCAAAAAGATTATGACTTGCTAAAGGCTCAGATAATGGTTAGCATTTTTTAGCATAAAGTATTTTTAAATTAAGTTATGTACATTGTTTGTTTAGACATAATGCTATTGTACATTTAATAGACTATGGTAAAAGTAAACATAACTTTTACATGCACTGGGAAACCAAAAACTTTATGTGATTTGCTTTATTGCAGTACTCGCTTTATTGCGGTATGCTGGAACCAAGCCCACAATATCTCTGAGGTATGCCTCTGAGGTATATGTTAATATGGAAACATATGTCTGGATAAAAGCAAAGTCTAGTTAGCAGTACATGTCCCATCTGGAATGCTAATATCACTTTACCTGTCGATACACTGAGCCGCTAGACAGGCAGTTGTCAGAATCTCTTTGATGTGAGTCAGCCAGTTTGAGGCCTCCAATTTACTGAGCCATCGGTCCATGTTATGTGTTTGGTCATTACAAGCTTCCACAAGTTTGATTAAGCTCTCCTGAAGAATGTGATACCTTTCAAACACAAGGAAAAGAAAAACAAAATAGAACAATGAAGGAAGAAACCAAACCAAAAACTCAGCCTCCAATGTATCCAAGAGCAAAAGTAACTAAAAATACTGTAAAAGTATTTACCTTGCTATCCAGTAACCTGAGGATTAAATATTGAAAAACTTGTATTTAAAGATGCTTAAAATGCCCGTCATAGTAAACTGTTCCTCATCTGAATAGATTAAACCCAGGTAGCAAAGCTGAATTATCTGACTGGGGAGAGGGTCAGAGCACTGCCTTCTGCGATCCTACTCCCACAGAACCACCTGGTGCTGTCAGTGGGGTGCCCAAAGCCAGCACAGATCCCATTGTTTTATTAGCCCCAACTCCCACCCAGCCACCCAGAGGCACTTATAATCCACTAATTGCAAGCATCAACAAGAGGGAAAAGGGTGTGAAAACAGGTAGATATGGGAGAAATTAAATCTCTAAGTCTTTTGACTTCAGGAAATATAGTTATCCATAGCATATCTGTTCAGTAAGTTTGGTGACCGTTCATATACAGGTAGAGGAGCAGACCTTGTGGTGATGAAACTTCAGAGCTGACTCAGAGAAAGAGTGCTATTTGACGAAAACTCAACTCTGGGCATCCAAGATTTGTTTTCTACTTATCTTACAAAACACATTGACAGGATAGCCAGTCAATTTTTTAGTCTAAGTTAATGTGTAGGTTCATTCGAAACTTGTGATTTTTGAACAGCGACAGGCTCACGCAGTCTAATGAGCTTCAAACAAGAGTCCACCACTGTCTCTAGAATTGTTTACCTCTCAATGGACTTATGAATCCGCCTCCACTGAGGATAATGTGCTTCTTGTTCAAAGCCCCCTCCTTTGGCTCGAGCTTGCTGAGCCACATTGAGAGATCGGGTATCAATGATATAGCCACGCTTTCCTGCCCTGAGGGTAGCATTTATCAGCTTCTCATCTTCTTTGCACCGTCTCCCATTTGTACCGGTCAGTGGCTGACCACTTCGCATAATTACCTAGAAGCATAATACAGTTTAAAATTTAATAGTAGCTGCTTTTAAAAATTTGTGAAATCAGAAATGAATTAGCTAGTTTTAGAGTATTTCAAAAACAACTTTGTGGGTGGCTGGGTGGCTCTGTTGGTTAGAGTGCGTGCTCTGAGCAACAGGGTTGCCGGTTCGATTCCCACATGGGCCAGTGAGCTGTGCCCTCCGCAGCTGGATTGGGGACAGCGACTTGAGCTGAGCTGCAGCTGAGCTGCCAGTGGGTGGTGAGATGGCTCAGTTGGTTGGGGTGCATGCTCTTGACAACAAGGTTGCTGGTTCGACTCCCACATGGGATGGTGGGCTGCGCCCCCCACAACTAGATTGAAAGTGCTCTTAACAACAAGGTTGCTGGTTCGACTCCCACATGGGATGGTGGGCTGTGCCCATCCCTCTTTCCCCCCCTACAATTAGATTGATAATGGCGACTGGACTTGGAGCTGAGCTGCACCCTCCCAACTAAGACTGAAGGACAACGACTTGACTTGGAGCTGATGGGTCCTGGAAAAAACACATTGTTCCCCAAAGTTTAAAAAAAACAAAAAAACAAACTTTGTGACACTTTGGAAATGGATTTGATCCTAACACAAAGACACATCTCTATGTATTGACAATAGTTAATATTGTAAAATAAAAATAAGACTTGCACTTTTAAATAACGTTTCTTCTTACTACCTCAAAATGGTTTCCCATAATAAATTACAGTTCCTCTTTAAGACGAAATCTTACAATTCCTTTAGCCAGTGAGTTAATTATCCAGTCAATCTAGCCCTGTAATGAAGATAATAATGGCCAAAGCACCAGTAAACTTTTGCTGCAACTACATAAACTTAGGGTTGGCAGATTTTATCAAGAATTATAAAGGAAAAGGCACCAATGGCAAAATTAAAAAGTTTATGAATTATTCTTCTTGTTTTGGAAATAATTTTCAATACCTTTAAAGTAGCTTGTTATTGTTTATTCTCTAGTGGCCCTCTTCCATCCTTTTCAGTATTCCAGGACTTAACCACTTGTCTCCAAAGACCACCAACCATATATATATATATTTTTTTTTTTTCTTTTTTTCCTGTTTCCACTAGTAGTTTATAAGCAACTTGAAGGCAGGGACTGGGTCGTTTTGGTAATCTCTCTCCAGCACATGGCCCAGCTCAAATGTTTTTTGAATGTATGAGTGAATATGATCTTAATTCACTCCCTGCCCGTGCCCACTCCACCTAGGGCTCCATAAAATGAGCAACAGAGCCTCCGCTCAGTTCCAATCCTGCTCCTCTGAGAACCTATACTTTACCAAGCTCTGACTCTACCCAGGGCTGAAAGCTGGGTCAAAATAAGAGCTGATTTAAAATTGCGGTTACCACCCTCAAAGTGTATTGTACAGTGCAGTGAAACAGGCCACGAACTCCAGAAACTGTTGTACAGTAGAAGGTTAGGTTCCAGGGGGACAGGGACTGTGCCTTAGTCACCTTTGTACCCACTCCTTAGTGCCTCATACTCACCTGGCACATTATACAGGAACCAATTACAATAACAGTTAACATTTTTTTAAGTTCATACCAAGTGCTAGGCCCTGGACTATGCACTATAAATGAATCATCTCATTTCATTCTCACAACTTATTTTAAAGATGAGGAAACTGAGACTCAGAGAAATTTCCCTTGCCCAAGGGCACACAGCAAGTGAGTGGCAGAACTAGGACTAACGTCCATCACTCCAAAACCAGTGCTTTTATCCACCACACTTGTATTGGAGAGAGAGAGAGTGAGTGGGACAAGGAAGGAGGGAACGAACGAAGGGAGGAAGGGAGGGAGGAAGGGAGGGAGGGAGGAAGGAAAAACAGTGTCATTGGCGTTCAGATGACACTGGCATGTCTCCTTAAAGAGATCAGGGATGCGTAGCTTTGTGGGAAAAGTGGTGGTATAGCTAGGCCTTGCAGGATAGGTGAGCAAGATTGGGACTCACAGAGATGGGGAACCCACTATCTTCTGAGAAGACAGTGACAGGCACTTTCATATCTCATTTCAGAGATTTGGGGGAGAAAGGTGCCCATCCAGCTTGTGTTCCCTGGAGGCTTAGAGGTACAAGGAGGACCAAGGGTGGAAGGGATTCAGGCAGTGGAGGAGGGGCCAGGTCTAAAAAATAAGAGCCAAGAAGATGGGGCGAGTGAGATGCTGAAGGCCAAAGGCCTGGGCTAGAGGGAAGGAATCAAGCTGGAAGGTGGTCTGAAAGGCCAAAGCTCGGGTTCGTTAGAGTCAAGTAAAGAACTGATGGGAGGATGCGAGTAGAGGAGTTTGGAAAGACAAGAGCTCAGGTGAAGAAGAAGAGGGAATTGTACAGGAGAGCTGGATAACTGGTCAGAGTCAGAGGGTCCAAGAAGATGATCAGGAGACAGGGCGCAAACGCTGCAATCAGAGGTGCCAGGGGACCGGGGCTCAAGAGGCTGGGTTGTGTGCTGTGGGTAGCGGAGGAGCTGATGGTGGAGTCCGTGGGTACAGGTGTTCTGGAGGGCAGGAGCTGGATTGAGTTGCCAGCAGGCTTGGGGCCAGAGGACTGGGAGAGGAGGGGTGACCCCAAAGGTGTGGTCAGTGGCATCAGGGCTGGAGTGCTCAAAGGCCAACAAGGGAAGGGTCGGCGGGTAAGGGCTGGGGCCAGAAGCCTGGCGCGCGGGCCAGGAGAGGGGTACAGGGACTGGGGCAGTGGGAATCACAGGGTCCCATTTGCCCCGATTGAGTTTGGGAGCAAAGCAATAGCCTCTGGCTCCCCAAAGAGAGGAAAGGGGCCAGGTTCAGGGTCCCCCACGAAGCCATGTCTGCCTATCCCCGTGACCTCGGGCCCAGCCCGGATTCACCTCACTCCCGCAGCTCGGACAGGGACAGCGCCGCCTCAGTCCCCAACTATATATTTTGAAAGGTTTACTTTTGAAACTTTTCTCAAGAAATCAATAAGTATTATACTGATCTCTTTCCTGGTGACTGGTTTAGAGATATTTCAATTTCACCCCATAGTACAATATATACAGTTATCTTAACTACCTTGAAATTTAACATGATCAAGAAAGGTCATCCAGAGGATGACAATGGCTAACTCTCAGTGCGTACCACGTAAATGGACACAACAGTAACCCTGATGAACCCTAGGAAAAAGAGACATACTACTGAGCAAGCAGGATATGTGACCTGATACCAAAGTAGCAGCTTTTTAGAAGTCTTTTTATCCTAAACATGTATGTTTGACTTATTACCAGGGGAAATGGAAAATGGAAGATGGCTATAATTTATCCACTAATTTACTATTGGTCTCAAAATGAGAAGCAGTTTATTGACTGAGAGAAAATAAGAGGAGAGAAACAGATTTAGAAAATATTTAGGAAACAAATACACAATAGGCACTTGCCTATTCAATTCCTGACTTGTGTTTACTTAAGTTGTGACCAATGACATGTGTCACTCTTTTCCCTTTTGAAAATAAAAACATCTGCTCAATTTATCTTTCATAAGGAAATTTGGTGAGAATAATGAAAGTATCTTACTATTATTCTGGTCAGAGAAAATTTATTTTTCTGCCTAAGAGTGTTATTTTAAATATGCATTGAACACTAGTTCTCTTTGTACTCGAATAAACCTATCTGGGCTTTTCTAAGGTTGAGCAGCATGATGGAAATAATTTAAAGTCATATCCTGATCACAGAAAGCACTCTACTCTTGATTCCCTAAAACTTAAAAAAAGGAAGTCCTAGCAGGAGAGACCAATCACTTCAATGAACAGGTACACAGAAAAGGGAAACATTTCTAAGAAAAGATCCCTAAACCAAGTCTTTTGGTAGCTCAAGCAGCAGTGCTGTACACTTACCATTCCGTTTTTTTTATGATAATAGCTAAGTACTGGGAAGCGTCCTCCATGTCGAAATGTAGCTACCTTACGAAGAGCTTCATCATCGATGGACTTGGGCACTATGACAATTGGCGGGTAAGAAGGGCAGATCGCAAATTCCTTATTGACATAGCTTAGCCTCCATTCACTGGTCTGAAAAACACAAAATTCTTCAAGTTAAGCAAGTATCTTAATGTCATAAAATAATCTGAAAAATTTTAAAGGACCTTAGAGATCAACTTGCATACAATGAAGAAGCCATCTCAGGAATTTAATAGAATGATACCTAGGGCCATAGTTACATACATCCAGAGAAAAGGAGCTCCATTCTTCAGTCAGCTTCCTGCAATGCTAGGTATCCCTAGTTCCTAGAAAGTTCTTGCTCATATTGAGCAAAATTTGTTGCTCTATAACTTCCTCTATTGGTTTTTACCATGATTTCAGTACAAGTTCCCTATTTCACATAACATCCTATCAAACATGTGAAAGTCCATGGTTTCTCCCTTAGCCTTCTATTTTCCAAGTTAAATATATTAAGTTCATTCATGACTGTCAGGATCAACATCATCTAATTCATCCTTTTCTGGGTACCATTTACTTTGTTATCGGTACTCTTAAAGTATAGAAACAGGAAGACTATCATACTACAGATAATGCTGGACCAGAACAGAGGAAAACAGAACTACTACTTACTTCAAATCCCTTTTTCCTTTCTGTTATTTAAAAAAGGAGTAAAATGTAGAAAGCTGGTAATATCTTTCTTAAAAGAATGATGATAATGCAAAGAAAGATTATACTTAGGAGTCAGTGAAGTAATCTCTAAGTCAGTGTGCCAAGGATTAAAAGTACATAATATAAAACTATCAAATGAGAACTTCTTTCAAAAACAAAAAGGAACACCACTTGAAGACTGTAAAAAGCTTTTTACAGTGAAACAAATAAATAAAATTATCTATATGTAAATATCAATATGCTCCTATAAATCAGAGTTGGCCTAACATACTGGCCATCGTTGCAGTATCAGGAAAATAAAACCGAAGTATGTTTGATGTACTGTAGAACAAGAGTACTTTTTAAGAAACGCTTTTACAAGACACAATATCATACTTCTAATTACATTTTTCACTTTTCAAAGTTATTCATGTTACCAATTTTAGAAAGACAGTTTCTAAAGGATCCATTATATAAAAAAAGGAAGTTACGTGTTTCCTGCTTACTCATTACCTAATTCCCTTTTCCCAAAAGCAACAATTTTTCACTCTTTTAGCTTTTGTGTGTGTGTGTGTGTGTGTGTGTGTGTACCTCCAAATTTCTAAATAACATGACTATACTGTTACTTCTTGATTTCTCATTAATAGATATTACATACTGCCTAGGTTTTCTTCTAGGAGTTTTATGGTTTTGGATCTTACATTTAAGCCTTTAATCCATTTTGAGTTTATTCTTTTATATGGTGTAAGGAGGTGGTCTAGTTTTATGTTATTTTTGCATGTATCTGTCCAGTTTTCCCAAGACCATTTATTGAATAGTCTTTACCCCATTGTATATTCTTGCCTCTTTTGTCATAGATTAATTAACCATATGGGCATGGTTTATTTCTGGGCTCTGTATTCTGTTACATTGATTTATGAGTCTGTTTTGATGCCAGTACCATGCTGTTTCAATTACTATAGCCTTGTAATATAGTTTGATACCAGTATCAAGTAGCATGATACCTCCAACTTTGTTCTTTCTCAAGATTGCTGTGGCTATTTGGGGTCTTTTCCGGTTCCATATAAATTTTAGGATTATTTGTTGTAGTTTTGTGAAAAATGTCATTGGTATTTTGATAGGGATTGCATTGAGTCTATAGATTGTTTTGGGTAGTATGGACATTTTAACAATGTTAATTCTGCCTATCCATGAACACAGTATATGCTTCCACTTGTTTGTATCTTCTTCAGTTTCTTTCTTCAATGTCTTATGATTTTCTAAGTACAGGTTTTTTACCTCCTTGATTAAATTTGTTCCTAGGTATTTTATTTTTTTTATGCAAATATAAGTGGATTATTTTTCTCTTCCTGATAGTTCATTATTGGTAGATAAAAGTGCAACTGATTTGTGAATATTAATTTTGTATCCTGCTACTTGATTGAATTCACTTATCAGTTCTAATAGTTTTTGGTGGAATCTTTAGAGTTCTCTCTATATGTAGTATCATGTCATCTGCAAATAATGACAGTTTTAATTCTTCATTTTCAATATAGATGCCTTTATTGCTGTGGCTAGGACTTCCAATACTATGTTGAATAAAAGCTTTTAGCTTTTCAACATTGAGTATGATGTTAGCTATGGGTTTGTCATATATGGCCTTTATTACATTGAGATATGTTCCCTGTACTCCCACTGTGCTGAGTTTTTATCATAAATGGATGCTGGATTTGGTCAGATGCTTTTTCTGCATCTACTGTTATGATCAAATGATTTTTATCCTTCATTCTGTTTGTGTGGTATATCACATTAATTGATTTGTGGATATTGAACCAACTTTGTATCCCAGGAATTAATCCCACTTGATCACCATGTATAATCTTTTTAATGTATTGCTGAATTTGGTTTGCTAACATTTTGGTGAAGATTTCTGAATCTATGTTCATCAGGAATATAGGCCTATAATTTTCTTTTTTAGTAATGTCTTTGTCTGGTTTTGGAATGGAAATCTGGGTAGTGCTAGCCTCATAAAATGAGCTTGGAAGTCCTCCCTACATTTTAATTTTTTGGAATAGTTTGAGAATGATGGGTGTTAATTCTTCTTTGAATGTTTGGTAAAATTCACCTGTGAAGCCATCCGGTCTAGGACTTTTGTTTGTTGAGAGTTTTTTGATTACTGATTCCATTTTGTTAGTAATAATCAGTCTGTTCAGATTGTTTTTTCTTCATTCAGTGTTAGAATATTGTATATTTCTAGGAATTTATACATTTCTTCCAGATTGTCCAATCTGTTGGCATATAACTGTTCATAGTATTTTCTTATAATCCTTTGTATTTCGGTGCTATCAGTTGTCACTTCTCTTTTATTTGTGGTTTTATTTATTTGGGTCCACTCTTTTTTTTTCCTGATGAGTTGGAATAAAGGTTTGTGAATTTTGTTTACCTTTTCAAAGAACCAGCTCTTGGTTTCACTGATCTTTTGTATTGGTTTTTAGATTCTATTTCATTTATTTCAGCTCTGATTTTTATTATTTCCTTCCTTGTACTCACTTTGGGCTTTGTTTGCTGTTCTTTTTCTAGTTCCTTTAGGTGTAAGGTTTGATTGTTTGAGATTTTTCTTGTTTCTTGAGGAAGACCTGCAATGCTAAGAATTTCCTTCTTAGGACTGCTTTCACTGTGTCCCATTGATTTTGGACCATTGTGTTTTCATTTTCCTTTGTCTTAAGGTATCTTTTGATTTCTTCCTTGATCTCATTGTTAACCCATTCATTATTTAGTAGCATGCTATTTAGCCTCCATGTGTTCGTGTGTTTTTCAGGGGTTTTTTTTGGTAATTGATTTCTAGTTTCATTTGATGTGGTCGAAGAAGATGCTTGATATGATTTCAGTTTTCTTAAATTTATCAAGATTTGTTTTGTGGCCTAACATGTGGTCTATCTTGGAAAATGTTCCATGTGCACTTGAAAAAAATGTATTTTCTGCTGCTTTGGGGTGAAATGCTCTAAAAATACCAATTACATCCATCTGGTCTAATGTGTCATTTAAGGCCACTGTTTCCTTGCTGATTTTCTGTCTGGAAGATCTATCCATTGATGTGAATGGGGTGTTAAAGTTCCCTTCTATGATTGCATTACTGCTGATCTTTATGTCTATCAGTATTTGCTTTATATAAGTGCTCCTATTTGGGTGCATAAGTGTTTACAAGGGTTATATCCTCTTGTTAGATTGATCCCTTTATCATTACAAAGTGTCCTTCTTAGTCTCTTATTATAGCCTTTGCTTTAAAGTCTGTTTTGTTTAATAAAAGTATTGCTACCCGTTTTTTTTTTCTCAGATCTGTTCACATGAACTATCTTTTCCCATCCCTTTAGTTTCAGTCTGTGTGTGTGTGTCTTTCAATCTGAAGTGGGTCTCCTGTAGAAAGCCTATGTAGGGACCTTGTTTTCTTATCCATTAAGTTACACTGTCTTTTGATTGGAGCATTTAATCCATTTACATTGAGAGTGGTTATTGATAGGCACGTAGTCACTGCCATTTTATGACTCATACGTGTGTAAGGCGGAGGGAAGGCTGGGCTGGGATACCCTCGGCGAGGGGAGGATGGAGACTCACCTGCTCCCTAGGGCTCATCGCCCCAAGTGTAGCAACTTTTGTTTCCTGACCAAGTTTGGAGCCTGTGAAATGGAGGACAGGAGAAACATTTCTTTCCGAGGCCTCCCTCATCCTCCCCTCCTGGGGACCTCAACACATGTACAGAAACCTGGTCTTACTTCTGGAGAGCAGTGGCCTTTGAGAATGAAAGGTTTAGGAGAATGTACCCCTCCTGACCCTTTCTACGCAGCCATACTAAGGCAACCAACCGGGAAAGTGAGAAACCAAGTGCTCAGAGATTCCTTGCTGCATCCTAATCTGAGACTTCTAAACTGAAAGAAGACTCAAGCTGAGCCTTGTTTGGTAATGTGGGCCCAGATTAGGAGCTCTTTTATCATATGAACCTCCTTTTTACCATACATTTGAAGCCTTTTATATTATATAATTAGGACAGGTAGATGACAGTAATTGAAAAAACAAACAGCCAGGTAAAGTTGGGAATTTAAAACATGATGCATACATATCTTAAGCATTGTCATTAAAAATATATTCATGTCACCAAAAAACCCCCAGTAACATTATGTCTCTCCAAACACTGCTTTAGCTATATTCCTCAAATTTTGATTTTGCATTTTTATTATCATTCAGTTCGAAATGTTTTCTAGTTTCCTTTATGATTTCATCTTTGATGCATAGATTATCTACAAGTATTTTGTTTAATTTAGAATACTCTGCATATTCCTAAATACCTTAGTCTTTATTTCTAATTTAACTTCTTTGTGGTCAGAGATTATACTCTGTATTGTTTCAATCCTTTAAATTTATTGAGATTTATTTAATAGCCCAGTGTATGACCTCTCTTGGGGAATATA